ACTTAAACTTAAATAACTTAATGACCAATAGACTTTTGAACATTGTAAGGATAGGTAAGGTTAGGTTAGGTCAAGGGGAACATTTTACACTGGTCATCAGGTATATTTACCTACTGATCATTAAGTTATTTAAGTTTAGGTGAATTGGTTTTTAGGTCAATAGACCCGCACCCGTTTAATACTTATTGAACGCATTGGTTAGGTTATGTATACAGTTTGCAGTGCAAAATAAATGACCGTTTTCTCCATGATAACTACCAATTATAATTTAGCATATCACTACAATTTGTTTTTTAAAATTCCTATAAATATAAATATGTGAAACACTTAGGTTAAAAAAATTAGTTAAACGTTTTTCTCACTAGGTAAATATTAATTTATAATATGAAAATAAGAATTTTATTAATAATTTTAAGAATATTTTATAAGCTCTAATAGACTACTCAATAATATCTGTATTTGAAATGGTTCTAGTTTAATTTATTGTAAAATTGTTTAAATTATATTATCATTCATTTGATTCGTTTCCATATTCTGATGGCTTGATTACGAGGTCTCACTTCAGTCGCCGAAACTAAAAAATTATGAAATAATCCTAACTTTCCGGCATTATCTCCAGCATATACATCATTACTATAAACACCGGGTGTAATATTTGCATAGTCAGTGCCGTTTTTACTATCGTAATGAAAATCAACCATAACCAATCTTGGTGAATCTCCCTCTTGAATTTTGTCATTAAACTTATTACTATTCCCGCCCTCAGTCCTGAAAAATAAGCCAGCGTATGCGGGACTAACATTGTCCCAGTCCATTTTGGGCCACAATGTTTTTGGTTCAGGCTGACCTGGTAATTGTACGTGTATGTAACCAATTGGTAAGATATTTTGTCTCAAATCCAGTATCATTTGTTGCATGTGTTCAAGTGACCAGAGTTGTCCACTTTGACAAACTACTAGATTTCTTTTGGTGCAAGGTTCATCCACCCATTTACCAGTATTGGGTGCTTTTGGGTCCAATTCCACACAATTCTCTGTAACATTGGATGGGTCACCCGATTCCCAATTAGTGTAGTCATCCTTGGACCCATCTACCCAGGTCACTTTCTTATTGCTTACTTTAGCCCCAATCCACACGTTGTCCACTATTTTTTGTTTCGTGAATATTAAGTCTGATAGGAAGTCCTGTTCCTGTTGTGTATGAATAGTTAGTAGTGTAACGCCTTCCCCCTGTTTGCGGCATAGGTCTAGAGCACCATCGTAATTTTGAATGGCATCAGGTATAATTTTGAAACATTTTTCATCAGAATATTGCTGCCATCCCTCAGTGCAACTTGATTCACCATGTACGTACGTGTCTATTATTAAAAAGTTATATTTTACATTACACTAATTATTTATAATTTATAACAAATTAAATAAATTGATTATTTAATTTTTCACTTACAGTTTCATCAAGTTCACGCATTATATACTAAATAAATTATAATACTTACATCTTGTTAATAACAGTAATAGTGTCAATTGTCTTAGATAAATCATTTTTAAAAATTTATATCATGGAAAATTTCTATAAAGAATAATATTTGTTTTAAAAATTTGTTTTTAGAATCACTAGATTGCTATTTATATAGAATAATAATAATATGTCCTTGTAATTATTTAATCTATATTGATTTAGCAATAGGAATCAATTTCATGGGGATTATATTACTTCTTATTATTTCGTTATAAATTAGATAACATTTTATTGTACAAAGTTATACAAAGTTATACAAAGTTATACAAAGTTATACAAAGTTATACAAAGTTATACAAAGTTATACAAAGTTTTGTTAATACGTGTACAATTTGTAATCCCAAACTATATGACTAAAATTGCAAGGTATCTAATTAGTTACAAGGATTAATTTCGTAAAGGTAAAAACTGTAAAAAAGTATTTAAATAAAATTTTATTCTACAATAGTATAATTTACTAACTGTTAGAAAGTTAATAAACATTTATTTTATTTTTTAAATGAATTGTTATTTAGAGTTTAATATTTTATCAAAATATTAGTAAATACAAGTAATATAAATTATTAAATGTTTTGCTAGATTGAATTGTTAGGTTAGGTTAGGTTTTATGTTATGCTAGGTTAGATTTATGTGTATCACTACAGTATACGGTTATATTGAAAATTTAATCTACTTTTACTTTTCTAATGTTATTAAATCTATTTATAAATTAAGTACAGAATCGCAGTGACATCGAAAAATAAAATATTTTTTAAACAACCATTTATAACTTAAATGTCTGAGACATTAGCAAAAATTAAAACTATCTATTAAGTTACTGGTTTAGTAATGTTAATTGGTTAAACATAAATTTAGTATACTTTCATAATAGTGAAATAAATGAGGTATAATATATCATTTGAATTTCTTTTAAAATTTAAATAGAAAATGAAAAATTAATTTAATCAAATATGTTAAAACAATAATTTATTAAATAAATAAAATATTTTAGCATTAAATAAGTTGTTTTATACATTGAAAAATATAGTGGCTTATGATATGTAATTTATATAAAATGAATAATGATCTGAATTACTAATAAAAATTATATTCACTATAAATACAATTAATATTAAATTGTTGCCAATAGCTGTCCGTACTTAAGGCGTTGACCCGCTTTGATATTGAACTCCAAGCCTACCGGTGCCTCGAATATGAGGACAATAGTTGAGCCCAAATTGAATTCACCGAATGCCTGTCCCCTCGACATGTCCACCCTATCGGTGAGCACCCGGTCGTGGTATTCACCGGCCGTCCAGTGCTTCTCATTTGTTACTAAATCCTAAATAATAGACAAAAAATATTTTATTTTAATTTAAAATCAAAACTAATTTTAAAAACTTTTGTTGAGAGAGAGAGAGAGAGAGAGAGAGAGCTCCTATACCTCATCGAAATACACCCGAACAGTACCGACAGCCGTGGCGCCGACCGCTGCCATAGAAAAGTAGCCGTACCTCCAGTTCCCCGAATAGACTACTCTCTCATTAATCGTAAACAACTGGGGAAACACCTGAACGACACCGGGATTTACGCTGAGTAGGTGTCCCGCAAAATGTCGCCTAAAGTCGACTGACCACTGAGCGGGTGAGTGGAACCGGTGGTAATCACCCGGGGATAGGTATATCACACATGAGTATAGGGCTGTCTGGTTGGCACCGGTATTGTGCTGTAGTAGGTTTTGTTGATATTCATAGAGGGTTGGGGTAGGGGTTTGGTAGGTATTCTGTGGGCCCAGGAATTTGCTTAAGGAGTACGTAATGCCCTTCACTTGCTCTACCCGTCCATTGGTTATGCGGCCGAAGTGTAGTACCGTTCCGTCGGCAGGACTGACCTATAGGTATAGGTATTGAAAATATTTTTAATTTAAACGTTTTGATAGTTTTTCTGAGTAAATGTGTTTTTAACAGTTTATAAATTTAGGTTTTAATTTTTAATTTTACCTAGTTATATTACTTGTAACTTATTAGCTATTACTTTATAATATCTTAGATACTTTGCTAAATTGTATTGTCATTTTAAATTAAATAATTTACTACTGTATCTAGTATATGTTATCATAAAAACATAATAAGTGGTATAAACTTTAAATTAAATAAATTGAAACATATTTCTGATATACTATGTAAGATATGATAAGTAAAAACCGTAATTATGTATTTAAATAAAAATATAATGCTAGTAAACAAATATTTATAATTTTAATTGCCCTAGGAACTGATACTAAATATTTTGCTAAATGAATATATTAATGAATAAAACAATTGAATTAATACCACCAACTAATTTATAATTAATTTATGTATTTATTAATTTATTATAAATACTAACTAACTAGCAAGTTTAATACTAGTAAGTATATTTTGAAAATTATGAGTTCACTTACCACACCATTCCTGGGGTCAATAGGTCTGACCCCTGGCCTGAGTTTGCGTCGGAAAAATTGACCCAAATTTGTATAATGCGTTAAATCCTGGTCGAGACACTCGTCTAAATTACAACCAAAACATTTGGCGTAACCATTGATCACCACTTTTCTCATGGGTTTCGGCAAATCGATTGAATTAATTCGGCCCCAAATCCGGGACATTGTCCGCAACGGTAGCAAACAGTACAGAGATATCTGGGAAAGGGAGGCAAAATAATCTAAAATTCAATTTTTAATTTATGATAGATTTATAATAATGATTTTTAATGATTTTATTTTAGTTAAGTGTGAATTATTTTTAAATAAATACTAGTATTAGTAGGCTTTGTTAAAGCACAAACTGTAATAAAGTATTTATATAAAAATTTTATACTAGTAAACAAATATTTATATTGGTTTAAATTGAATTTTAGAAACTGTAATACAATATTTTGAAATAAATATTAGTTAATAAATATGAAGTGTTGATAGATTAAGTTGTATTGTATGTTAGGTTAGGTTTGCATTTTTAAGATATTAGGTTAGGTTAAATTGCACATAATATACTGATTATGTTCATGATGATTATGTTATGATCATGTAAATCTACTTTAGCTTTAATGTTAATAAATAAAAACTATTAGAATATATAGAATAATTTTTTAAACAAAGATTCATTACCTCGATGTCTGAGACATAATTATTGACTTTATGTAGTTTTGAATGGGTTTTGATGTCTAAATCATTGCCAGATTTTGAGACAAACTTATGATTTTGTTTATAGCGATTGAGAGCCAATAGTGA